AAACTAGGTGAAAATCTTCCAGTACTTCAAAAAACACTATTAGGATGGATTGTATCTGGCAAGTACAAGGGTCAGCCATTTGCATCACCAGCAGCAAAATGCCTATTATCAGTTGAAGATACAGTCTCCGATCAATTAGAAATGATGTGGAAGATAGAGGAAGTGCAATCGGCTTCAAAATCATGGTCACCAGCACATGTTGCGTGTGAGTCATTATATCGTGAAACGGTTCACCAAAATGCGATGGGAAGAATTGTCGTTCGGTTACCATTCAAAGATTCACCAGATTGTCTTGGTTTGACACACAATATCGCCTTGCGCCGTTTTTATTCTGTAGAACGGCGATTGTCATCTAATCGTGCACTGAAGCAAGACTATCAAGAATTCATGAAACAATATCGAGAGCTCGGACACATGACGCGTGTTGAGACTCCGAAAACCAACGAACCTCATTATTATATCCCTCATCATTGTGTTTTAAAACCGTCGAGCACTTCGACCAAGCTGAGGGTGGTTTTTGATGCGTCATGTTCAACAACTTCGCAACGTTCATTAAATGATATTCTACTGGTCGGCCCGACAATTCAGCCGGAGTTATACTTGTTGCTACTTCAATTTCGTTTGCACCGATATGCCTTGACGGCTGACATTGTTAAGATGTACCGACAGGTACTGATAGATGAACCAGATCGAAAATTCCAATATATTTTTTGGCGAGATACGGAGTCCGATCCTGTTAGTACTTACGAGTTGAATACAGTCACTTATGGTACTGCATCAGCACCTTTCCTAGCAACCAGGAGTTTGCAGTATTTGGCGGACAAATTTGAAACACAATACCCAATAGGCGCTGCACTCATTAAATCAGCGTTCTTTGTCGACGACTTCTTAGGTGGAGCAGATTCCATTGATCAACTCACCAATATCAGACATCAGTTAACGGCCATTCTACAGAAGGGTTGCTTCGATCTTGACAAATGGCATTCAAACCATCATGACTTCATCAGCGATACTACAACAAAGAGTTTGAATCTTGATACAGATACAGTCACCAGCGCTCTAGGCCTCAAGTGGCACCAAATGCAAGATGTTTTCCTATTTTCGTTCAATGCACAACCAGGTCATATTGTAACAAAACGCACCATCTTATCCCTTGCGTCTTCATTATTCGACCCGCTTGGATTACTAGCACCGATCATACTCGTAGCCAAAATTATGATGCAAGAATTGTGGCTTTTGCGTGTGGACTGGGACGAGTCAATCCCTCAAAATCTTCACTCAGCTTGGAAAACATTTATTCAAGATCTTACAACGCTTTCATCGGTTAAGGTGCCGAGATACTGCCTATCCATAAACTATCAACAGGTTGATGTACACGGTTTCTGTGACGCTTCAATACGCGCATATGGTTGCTGTATATTTCTCCGATCACAAAACACATCAGGTAAGGTGACGGTCAGGCTATTCACTGCAAAATCCCGTGTGGCACCTATAAAGCGGAAGTCGCTACCTAAACTAGAACTCTGTGGTGCCTTACTTCTTGCCAAACTGTATCAGAAGGTCCAACCAATATTTGCGCAATTTAAGGGTGAAACGTTTTTTTGGACTGATTCACAGATTGTATTACATTGGTTGAAGCAGCACTCATCAACCCTGTCTGCATTCGTTGGCAATCGAGTAGCGGAAATTCAAGATATTACCGCAAATGGGCAATGGAGACACGTTCCTACCCAATCCAACCCGGCAGATGTTGTGTCGCGCGGCTGTAACATCCGCCAATTATCAGAGTCTTGTTGGTTTACGGGGCCGGAATTTTTGTTACTCGCTGATAAATACTGGCCGCATTTGAAATGTCACAACCTGGATATGGAAGAAGTCAATAAAGAGACGCGAAAGGTTGTATTCGTTAACACAAATGAAGACAACTACGTATTACAGGTATTGTCAAGATATAGTTCATACACTAAGATGCTACGAGTAATAGCGCAGGTACAGCGTTTTTATCATGTAACCAAGAATAAATTGAAGAACGGAGAATGTACCCTCCAACCTATTCAGCTACAAAAGGCATTGCACTGTATTATTTGGGTCATCCAACAGCAATTCTTCGAAATTGATATACAACGCCTACAACGAGGGAACCCAGCCAAAGGTACATTAAAGCATCTAAATCCCTTCCTGGACAATGTATTCGGTTATCAATTACTAAAGGTGGGAGGTCGCCTCGAGCTGAGTGACATCTCAGTAGGCCAACGTCACCCTATTTTGTTGCCGAAGGGCTGTTATTTTGTGGAACTTTATGTTCGGCATATACACTTGTGCAACTATCATGCAGGCGCAAAAGCACTAATTGCCCTTACTCGACTAAACTTCTGGATAATTAATATTCGAGAAATTGCACGCCGAGTCGTGCACTCGTGTATTCACTGCGTGCGTTATAAACCCAAACTACTTAATCAAATGATGGGTAATCTCCCAATCGAACGCCTCACTCCAAGCCGTCCATTCGCGCGTACTGCGGTAGATTTTTGCGGTCCGATATTAACGTATCTCCGAATTCGGGGACGGGTTCCATATAAGACCTATATAGCCGTGTTCGTTTGTTTGTCTACAAAGGCAGCTCATCTAGAAGCCGTGTCAGACTTATCTACGGAGGCATTTATTGCAGCACTGAAAAGGTTAATCGGTAGACGAGGGTTACCATCAGACATCTATTGCGATAACGCCACAAACTTCGTTGGGGCTAACAACAAACTAGTAGAGTTAAAAAGGATGTTTTTCGAGAAGTCTAATCAAGTGATGCTGCAGACCTTTTGCAGCAACCAATTCATAAATTTCAATTTTATACCGCCCCGAGCACCTCACTTTGGAGGTCTATGGGAAGCGGCTGTAAAAAGCGCGAAAGGCCATCTGTATCGAACACTATCAAATACTCGATTCACCTTTGAGGAGCTTGGAACAGCACTGATTGAAATCGAAGCCATCTTAAATTCGCGACCAATCACACCTCACTCTTGTGACCCGAGCGATTACGAAGCGCTAACGCCGGCACATTTTCTTATCGGTGGGCCGCTCAAAACTTTATCTGAACCAAGTCCTCAGTATGAAGCTGCTTCATTAATTGATAAATGGTCTCGTATAACCGCGGTCAAACATCACTTCTGGCGCAGATGGTCTAGAGACTATCTGAATGAGCTGCAGATACGCACCAAATGGACAGAAGAACAATCTAACATCACCGAGGGGGCTCTGGTTCTAATCCATGAAGACAATATGCCTCCACTACGCTGGTTGATGGGCCGAATCGTGCATTGCATCAGGGGTCCAGATAATTTGGTTCGTGTTGTTGATGTGCAAACCCCAAAAGGAGTAATACGGCGTCCAATCCACAAACTCGCACTATTACCAATTGAAAATCCTTTCAAGGGGGGCGGGATGTTAGAGCGGTTAAAGTCAAATTGTTAATATTGTAGGATTCTGTAGAATTATTATAATTGATGTGTTATATGATTTATATATTATATTTTAATCTATTTTAAATCATATATTGTATAATTAAATTATTATAATTAATATATTATATAATTCATATATAATATTTTATATGGTTAATATATATGGTTAATTAATTTATCTAACTAACCCTGTATAAGATGTAATCAAACCAACGGTTCTAAGTCTTGTTTTTATTGCCTTTTGTTTTTGCGCTCGAGATGAGCAAATTTTATTGTTATATTTTTTGGCTGCAAGTAAACTCCGTTGGTTTGATTCTCTCTCTTGTTTTTCGATCGCGAACGTGTCAACACACGGGTACACATAAAAAAGTGATTAAACAATCAATATATATATAACCGAAATTGTATAAATTCAATTGTATAAATTAAATGAAATCAAAACCCAATTATAAAAACGTTTATAATTTACATTGTGTTAAAGAAATTGAAATAAAGATCATAAAACCCAATTATAAAAACGCTTATAATTTACATATGTATTATGTTGAGGCTAGTTGAGTCAGTGCACTTAAGCACTTTTACTCTCTATTAACTGTAAGGTTTCTTCATAACTCCTCTCTACGCCTTGACTCGATAATTGTTTATCACTTCATCAGACTAAGCAATAATTGACCTCATACCTTCCCGAGGAGCCTGTAATCATTCTGAGATTCGATAACGCGGTGTTGGTAAACCTGTCAGTTTTCGTTTTCGTTCGTGTTAACATTTATTCATTGAATGACAAGCATATCATATATATATACAACCAACATTACTTGAACTGACGCAGTATGTCTCTACAAGTGATTCGCGCTGCATCCGCGCCTTTTTCAGTATCGTACATAAGGTTCGGTTAAGGGTTTCTAAACCTACGCATTCCACTATAGGCGCGTTTCACCTCTACGTCTTCTTCCTCCAATTATCGTTTTAAATATCTTTTTGCTGGATCGTTCTAATCTCTTTTCATAGTATTGTGAATCCACTAGATGTTAATTTGTTGAATTATATCAATGCCACGATGAGGCCCGTACATCTCATGACATGTAAATATTTATAAATTTCTTGCTATAATTTATTTTCTATTTGTTGGCAAATAATATAATACATTTATCAAAGCATGGTTTTAGGGGCTACTCTTACAACACAATATCTTCTAAACTGTTGATGGTATGGTATGGTATGGTATGGTATGGTATGGTATGGTATGATCTCGCCAATGCAGTTTATTAAGATGTGGCTCTCACTTAGTAATCTAACTAAAATATTAATATAAAAAGATAAATAATAAATATAAAAGATATAGTATTATTGATATAATATTACAGTATTAGATTCTTTTAATATGTTGTAAAGGTGTTATTACTCCAGAACTCTAACAGAGAGAGTGTTCTACATCCTAACTGCTGACTGAGCTCCTTATAGCATAAATGGTCATTTTTAAATAAATTTCCAATATATATAAATTTATTAAAATATTTGTAAAGGACATGATAAAATTAGAGATATAAAGATAAGAGATGTATAGAGGTTTTTTCGAAAAGTAGTGAACAACAACAAAAATTCATATTTATATTATTTAAATTAGACGAATTTTTGGCTGAAAAGAGATATATAAAAAATCCAATTCTCCACAAATCAATTGGTCGCTGAATAAAATATAGATTTGTTTTGTTAGAAAAATAACATTTACTTAATTAGAAAGTCAACCAATTTAATACTTTACTAAATTTTCCTCGACAAAAAAAAATTGTATTATGATTTTACATGATAAATTTGGATAATTTTTGATTTATATCTCACTTGTCCGAATTAATAAAAAAGTGGATGTATAGCGATGAATAGCCATTGATTAATGCGATAGTTAGCTTTTAATATAAAATTCTTTAAAAGCAATTACAATTATTTAAAATTGAACACATACTCCACCATTTAATACACACCAAACTATCTACAAATAAATTAAAGTTGTGTCATCTGAATTTTTTTTTATTAAAGAGAAGTGCAAATTTTGCCAATTGCCAGCAAACAAAAACAAATTTTATAATTTATAAGCGCCGATGAAAGTGCGGTTGAGAAGTATTCAAATATTTTATGAGTGCAGTTTAAATATTAATTTTTACCTGTTGCATGCAAATGAAAATTTTTCAAAACGGAAAATTCTCCTGGTTAATGGAATTTCAAATGCGGGAAAGTCCCGTGGGCCAACCCGCACATGGCAGTTGTGTAGCTGCATTGTGCAGTTGCATGGCATTGAGGTGTGAACGCAAATGTTTGATATTTTATATTGAACTGCACTCGTCTAATAGTGGACATTGTGGACATTTCAATAAATTTATTGGGCATTGCCATAAACAGCCATGGTTTTCCATATGAAATTTGAGAAAATTTCACAAATTTCACCAAAAATTCGCATTCGTGCATGAATGCATTTGTGCATGCATCCAAAATACCACATGTGCGAAATTGCGATACCAGCTCTGCTTTATTTTATTTCAAATAAACAATTGTTTTGCATTTCAAATATGTGTTTAGGTTAATATTAAATAGAGTTCCAAATTTAGTTGAATTTATATAAAGTAACATTTCAAAATGTGTTTCAAAAATTTTAATTATACAATGCACTTTAGTTATTGCTAATATATTATGAATGGAATAATAGTGGAGAACACCTATTTCAAGAATTTTTTAATGGTTATATAAATACACATGTAAATATAAATATATATGATATTTTTATATATATTTCAATAAATTTATCTTTGTGTCAACACCCAAAAATTTATTCATGAATATGGACATATCAGGTTCTGGTGTATACTTGTGTTAACCCCCTAAACATCATGAAAAGTTAAAGAAAGCATATATTTTATATATGCACCCGATGTACCCGATTATGTTGGGTGTTGATCAAAGAGATAAGTTCCAAAAACTACAAAAAATCTTGAAAATAACATATATTGGATACATATAGAAATAGTATGTATGATCAAAATAGTAAGTCCCAAAAATCACTTGTTCACTACCAGATTTGAACAAAATTGAGAAAAAATTATACCTCATCCCTGAAGATTAGGCACTCAGTCTAATTCTTTTAAACCTTACGATTTATTGTGATGCCACTACTTGATAAAGGACTATTTTGACACAATTAATAAAGTGTAGAATAGCTATAACTGATGATTGGCCTTAAAAATATTCCCTCTTGGTAGGCTGTGACTATTTTTATTGAATTTCATCTACTTTAATCTAGATATTCAGTAGAAAAGGTGTTTTATAATTCTACTTTTTCCTTAAATTTACAATCTGTATTATATTTACAAGATTGAATTCATAGTCTGAGCGTGTCCTGTGACTTTTTTCAATAAAATTTTGATTACGTTAAGGAACGAATTAGTCTTTCTAATGACCCAGTTCCACAATAATAATTTACGGGTGGTGACAAGAACTCCGATACCGTATCTGTTTACATATGGAATCTTTCGAGTGTATACAGAAAC